CATCCCTTTATTTTGAGCCTTTGTGTATCCTTGCATGTGAGATGGGTTTCCTGGATACGGTACACCAATGGGTTTTGGCATTTTATCCAATTTGCCAGTCTGTGTCTTTTGATTGGGGCATTTAGTCCATTTACATTTAGGGTTAATATTGTTATATGTGAATTTGATCCTGCCATTTTGATGCTAGGTGGCTGTTTTGCCCATTAGTTGATGCAGTTTCTTCATTGTTTCGATGCTCTTTACCATTTGGTATGTTTTTGGAGTGGCTGGTACTGGTTGTTCCTTTCTATGTTTAGTGCTTCTTTCAGGAGCTCTTGTAAAGCAGGCCTGGTGGTGATGAAATCTCTGAGTACTTGCTTGTTCGCAAAGGATTTTATTTTTCCCTCCCTTAGAAGCTTAGTTTGGCTGGATATGAAATGACAATTCTTTTCTTTAAGGATGTTGAATATTAGTCCCCACTCTCATCTGGCTTGTAGGATTTCTGTGGAGAGATCTGTTGTTAGTCTGATAGGCTTCCCTTTGTGGGTAACCCAACCTTTCTCTCTGGCTGCCCGTAACATTTTCTTCTTCATTTCAACCATGGTGAATGTGACAATTATGTGCCCTGTGGTTGCTCTTCCTGAGGAATATCTCTGTGGTAGTGTTCTATTTCCTGGACTTGAATATTGGCCTCCTTTCTAGGTTGGGGAAGTTTTTCTGGATAATATCCTGAAGAGTATTTTCCAGCTTGGATTCATTCTCTCCATCACATTCAGGTACACCTATCCAACATACATTAGGTCTTTTCACATAGTCCCAGATTTCTTGGAGATTTTGTTCATTTCTTTTTACCCTTTTTTTCCTCTAATCTTGCCTTCTCATTTTATATCCTTGATTTGATCTTCAAATCTGTGATATCCTTTCTTCCTCTTGATTTATTCAGCTATTGAAACTTCTGTATACTTTGCAAAGCTCTCGTTATGTTTTTCAGCTCAAAGCTGTTTATTCTCACTAGCATTTCATCAAACCTTTTTTGAAGGTTCTTAGTTTCTTTGTATTTGGTTAGAACATGTTCTTTTAGCTCCGAGAAGTTTGTTATTACCACTTTCTGAAGCCTGATTCTGTCAATTCATAGACTCATTCTCCATTCTGCCTTGTTCCCTTGCTGGTGAGGAGTTGTGATCCATTGGAGGAGAGACTTTCTGATTTGGGGTGTTTCCATCCTTTTTGCACTGGCTTCTTCCCATCTTTGTGGCTTTATTACCTGTTGTCTTTGTAGTTGGTGACTTTCGGATGGTGTCTGATTGGATGTCCTTTTTGTTGGTGATGAAGTTATTTCTTTCTGTTTTTTAGTTTTCCTTCTAACAGTCAGGATCCTTTGCTATAGGACTGCTGAGGTCCACTCCGGAGCCTGCTTGCCTGGGGATCACCTGCAGTGGCTGCAGAACAATAAGGGTTGCTGTCAGTTTCTTCTTCTGTTATCTTCCTCCCAGAAGGGTACCCAACAGATATCACTCATAGCTCTTCTTTATGAGGTGTCTCTTTGGATATACAGGGGTCAGGGGGCTGCTTGAGGAGAAGTCTGTCCCTTATAAGAGCTCAGTTGCCGAGCTGTGAGCTCTGTTACTCTTTTCAGAGCTGTTGGGCAGGTGTTTAAGTCTGCTGCAGTGGAACTTACAACCACCTTTTTTTCCCAGGTGCTCTGTCCTGGGAACGTGGGGCTGTATGTATAAGTTCCTGCCATGCTTTTGCCTTCTTTCTGTGATTCCCTTCCCAGGGAGGATGTACCCTAGTCACAGTCTTCCAGCAGAGGCGTTCCTGAGCTGCTGTGTGCTCTGCCCAGCTGCTGTGTGAACTTCCTTGCCGTTTTGTTTATAGCAATATAGTTAGGTCTGCCTCAGTAATGGCAGACTGTCTCTGTAATGGCGGATTGCCTCAGTAATGGTGGACCACCTCGGTAATGGCGGATTGCATTAGTGATTGCAGACCGCTTAGGTAGCGGTGGACTGGCTTGATAATGTCAGACGCCCTTCTCCCCACAGAGCTGGACGTCCTGGGTCCAGCTGTGCTTGCTGCGAAACTCTCAATCCAAAGCGTTTCAGATTGCTGGTCCTTGTGGGGGTGGAACCAGTTGAGCCAGATCACCTGGCTCTCTGTTTCAGCACCCTTTTTTTCAGTTGAATGGGCGACTCTGTCTCCCAGGCATTCCATGTACCAATTGAAACGGCCACCCAGATTTGTGTGAGTTTTTGAGGGGAGATCTGCTGTGCTGGCTGAGACAGCTGTGCTGGAGACTCCTGGTGCTTTTCCACCTGGGAATCTTCTTTTCTATGGGCAATAAAAACTCATTTGGAAATTCGGTGATTCTTCACCCTCTGCATTGTCATTTGGAACTGCTCTCCAGAGTTTTTCCTATTAGGCCATCTTGGATCAAAGACCGAGGATATTTTTTTAAAGCATGGCATTTATGTTAAATTCATATTTTATTTGAGTATTACCTTTTTGAATATGTGTGGGTTTTTCTTGTTGTTGTTGCTGTTGTTTTGTTTTTGAGACAGGTCTTGCTCTATTGCCCAGGCTGGACTGCAGTGGCAGGATATCACCTCCCTGCAGTCTCCGCCTCCCTAGTTCAAGTGATTTCCCTCCCTCAGCCTGTCCTGTAGCTGGGTCTACAGAAGCGCGCCACCGTACCAGGTTAATTTTTTGTATTTTAGTAGAGATGAGTTTTCACCATTTGGCCAGGATGGTCTCAATCTCCTGACCTTGTGCTCCGCCTGTCTTGGTCTTGAAAAGTGCTGGGATTACAGGCATGACCCACCGTGCCCAGCAATATAATTCTGTTTTTGGGAACAGTAGCTTTGAATGTAACCTTTGCTTTTAAAAGGTTGCTTATTCTCCGGGTGCGGCAGCCCACACCTGTAATCCCAGCACTTTAGGAGGCAGAGGCCAGTGGATCGAGACCATCCTTGCCCCGTCGCCATAACAAATACAAAAATTAGCCAAGAGTGGTGCCTGTAGTCTCAGCTACTCACAAGGCTAAGGCAAGAGAATTGCTTGAACCCGGGAGCATAGGTTGCAGTGAGCTGAGATTGTACCAGTGCATTCCTCCCTGGCAACAATGGAGACTGTTAAAAAAACAATATTTTTACTTATAAGTACTGAGATTTTCACCCAGTAGATGATGTTAATAAAGTAAATAAAAAGCATTTTCCTATTTTATTTTTTTAAAATAAAGATTCCTAGCATAGGCTAGACATAGTTTCCAACACATTTTTATAAACATAATGCTGAGGTAGGTTTTTCTGAATATCTGAGACTGAGCCATTCATACCCTGGTGATTGAGATACTCAGATAACTTTATAAAATGCAAGAGCATTTTCTTTCATTTTGATTTGTGAGTGAATAAAGGAGTGCTATTTTTAATGTTGAAATACTTTGCCTGCAAAGAAGGAAGGAAATTGTTTACTTACAAAGAAGGAAAGAAACCAGAAGGAAGCATGATGGGAACAAAATCATAGGCTGTTTCCAAAAGTTGCTCTAGTATATGTGATGAATAAATAGAGTTATACTAAAAAGTTACTTTTGGGTAACATGTTCAGGAAGTTATATTTTTCTTTTGACTGTGTAAAAAGTGACTGTATTTTTGTGGGAATAAAGGATATAAAGAAGCATGCCTCAAGTTTAAGTTGCCTGTTAATGAGAATGATTATTAACTTAATAATTTTCTTTTACCTAAGTCAGTAATAATGTGGATAGGCTGCCTGTGGTGTGGCTCACACCTGTTAATCCAACACTTTGGGAGGCCAAGGCAGGTGGATCATAAGGCGAGGAGATAAAGACCAGCCTGGCCAACGTGGTGAAACCTCGTCTGTAGTGAAAATAAAAACTGGGTGTGGTGGCACATGCGTTTAGTCCCAAGCTACTCAGCAGGCTGAGACAGGAGAATCCCTTGTACCAGGAGGCGGAGATTGCAGTGAGTGAGTCAAGATTGCCCCCTGCACTCCAGCCTGGCAAAAGAGCAAGACACCGTCTCAAAAATAATAATAATAATAATATAAAATAAAATAATGACGTGGATTTACATGTTTATAATGCCTCATTTTGGTTTATTTGCAGATCATGAAGACTATGATCCACAAACAGTGAGGCTTGGAAGTCGATATAGTCATATTCAAGAAGTTCAAGAACGACTAAACTTCCTTAGGTTTGTTTCAAATAATCAGTGCTGTTCTTTTAAGGCACTGCAGTGATAATACAGTGTTATTCTATATACTTTGTTTTTTCTTTTTGTGACAGGGTCTGATTCTGTCACTCTCTCTTAAGTGCATTGGGGCAATCTAGGCTCACTGAAGCCTCAAGCTCTCTGAGCTTAGGTTATCTTCGCAGTTCAGCCTTCCAAGTAGCTTGTGAATCTTTTAGTGATGATAGACAGAAGGAACCTTTAACTGTATAGTGACATTACTTTCGATGGGACAAGGAAAATTGTCTGTCCTTTAAGCCAAACCTATGTTCCAAACTGAATTTACTCAGTAATACATAGCTTTTAATGATGTGTATTTGTTTATATATGCATATAGCTTGAATAATGAGAGATGTCTTAAAAATGCAGTTGCCATACCATAGTGAGAAAAGTATTCCAATAATAAGTATGCTAAGAAAAGTTGCCAGAACTATTTATCAGTGTTTCATAAAGCTTTTTGAATTCATTGCTTTTCTCTGTTGATTCTGGAATTAGTTTTCGTTTTACATACCGTGTAATTTTGTTTGCTGATAAATCAGATAATAATTTATTGGACAATGTTTATTTGACATACAGTCTGTTTTCTATTCAGTCAGTTTGTAACTGGTAAGAATTTCATGGTCTGCCAGATCTGGCCTTTGTAGAGACAGTTGTTTATATTTTTGTTTATATAATTTCAGTTTGCAAAATACTGAAATCCGACACTTTTAATACCTTTTTTTATCCACATGGAAAACAATCCACCTTTTAATATGGAGTATCTCTTCCAAAGTGAGCTGTTGTTTTTCATGAGTGGAAAAATGAGTTAGAATTAATTCATACCATTATGAAATTTCAGAATTAGATGATCTTCCAAAGTTCCTGTTCCAGTACCACAGTTAATCAAAGTGGAAAGCTATTGAGTTAATGCTATATATTTGGCCTTGTGCTAATCACTTTTATTCATCGTAACAACCTTGTGAGGCAAGTGTTACTCTCCCTGAGCTTCCATTTGGAGAAAACGTCCTTCGAAATTGTACAGCTAGTATCTGATAGAGACTGGACTACCCATATAGACATTTTAAAAAGTGTCTGCCTTATGACACCAGTGATTTCTCAGACATTTTTATGTTGAAACCTTAGTTTACAAACTGCTGTGTTTCATCATGCCAGATCTCTTGTTGCTTATTTATGAATTAGGATGAGAGAGAGAGATTTCATCTAGAAGGTAGAGAAGCAGACTTAATCTAGAAGGGTCCCTTCAGCTTGCAGAGATATTAACAACTTGAAATTAAGATCCGGAAGAAGAAACTTAATCATGTTAAATAAAAACACCACATTCTTTTTTGGGAATAAAGCCACTATCATTTTGTTAACTGTGTGTGAAGTTATTATTCAAGTTAAAATATGCTTATTTTGTTAACTACATGTGAAATTATTATTCAAGTTAATATATGCTTATTTTTCCTTTTGCCCTCATTCATAGAAATAGGAGACAGAGTAAGTGGAAGAGTGCCATTCATCTACACAGCCAACCAAATGAAATTAGTTGAAGGAGACTCATCATTGTTTTATTGTAGTGAACTAACAATTAGTGAAACAACTAAAAAGCTCTAGGACATCACTGAGGATGTACTATTGATTACAGAGATAGACATAATTTTTAATTACTGGTAGATTATTTTATTTAATATGGCTAGTTATTAAGTGCAGTATTTCTAGAAATGTGATCATTTTAAGCAACTTTAATTAATGGTGATACAGCTAGTGCTCAACTTACGACCACGATTGGTTCCGACAGACTGGCCATGACACGATTTGGTCGTAAGTTGAGTAGGCTATGTGCACGCGGAGATGGTAGTGCTGCTGGAAGCTGGTCCGCACTGTTGTACGCCCAGCTGGGCAACGTTTGCACTGCCAGACTTGGAGCAGTCTTGGCTAGCGATTGTGGTCGTAAAGTCAAATGGTCGTAAGTTACATAGGTCATAAGTCGATCAATACCTGTATTTAGTTATCTCTGAAAGTAATTTAGTGTAATACCTTATTTTGCCATGATATAATTTAGCAGAGACCTAAATCAGTAATGAGTTTTAGGAGGTGAACCTGAAAGTGAGGAGAAATCTTCTTACTTAGTTCACATCATTTAGCAAAGTTCTGACGTTTTGTAGCTGCCTTATATACATTTGTTAAGCAAATGAATAACTGAAACATTTCAAATTCCAGATATGTGTTTAACAAATAAATTCTTTGGTAAGAATTAATATTTTTAAAGCTGTGATTAAAAGGTAATTATGGTGAAAATATTATGGTATAAATGTCAAAACCTGCTTTGCAGGAAAAACTTTGTAGACCCTAATTACTAATTTTTGTTTTTCCAAGATTTTTACTGAAGGATGGCCAACTGTGGCTCTGTGCTCCTCAGGCAAAACAAATATGGAAGTGCTTAGCAGAGAATGCAGTTTATCTTTGTGATCGTGAAGCCTGTTTTAAATGGTATTCCAAATTAATGGGGGATGAGCCAGACTTAGATCCTGATATTAATAAGGACTTCTTTGAAAGTAATGTGCTTCAGCTTGATCCTTCCCTATTAACTGAAAATGGAATGAAATGCTTTGAAAGATTTTTCAAATCTGTCAATTGTCGAGAAGGGAAACTAGTAACAAAAAGAAGAGCCTATATGATGGATGATTTGGAATTAATTGGTCTAGACTACCTTTGGAGGGTATGTGAACAGTAAGAACTTTTGTTTGTCAACCATTGTACATGATGTCATTAAAAAAAATTGAAGAATCATAATTTTGCCTGAGAATTATATATGTGTATATATATATATACACACACATACATATATATATATATGTATGTGTGTATATATAACATAGTTTGAAAAACAGTGATTTATATATATATAAAATTCTTACACAAAATTTTATATATATCTCCTGTTTCGATGCATTTCCTGGAATTCTAGGTGTGCAAGGGTAATTGCTTTTCTTTAGCTTCTTATATTTTATTACTGGTTTTTTAAAAAAATAATATTTAAATGATATTTTTAAATTAATATTATTTATTACTGGGTTTTTTTGTCTCAGCCTGTTGTACTCACAATCTGTCATCCTTTTCAGATATGTAGAATTACAGTAACCCTCTACACATTAAGCACATCTTTTATTCTCCCCTCCTTCATGCAAGTTAGTCTCTCTCTATTTATATGAGATAGACCTTGAAGTTTATATATATTTGATGTTGAAATATTTGATGTTGAATGAGGTACAGAAGAGTAGGCTATTACTAGGTTATGTTGAGTAAAGGCGCTGATTACACTGATTTCACTTTATATATATTTCACTGATTTCACTTTATATATATTTATTGATATTGTTTAGGTATTGATATTTTTCACTTTATATATATTTAAATAGCAGAAGAGTAAATGTTACATGATCCTAAAGTTAACTTTTTCATATTAATAGTGTAATATATCTTGTTGCCATTTTTAAATATCTAACATGTTGTGTCACAGCTTATATTTTGGATTTTATTATTTACTTATTCTGTGGACAAACTTTATGTTAGGTGAGAAGTTTCCTATGGTGTTCTATTAAAACCAGTAGTTGTCAAGCCTTTTTAGCCAGTAGTAACTCCCATAAATTAAAAAAGTATATACAGGGAGTTGAAGTAAGAGAAGAAAGTTTGGTTTTCTTTGCTCAGTTTCCTATTAGTCATTTCCTTTCTCTCTTCAGACTTCCCAAAATTTCATTCCTGAAATATTCTTAAGGCGCAAGGATTCTAAACATAGTTTGAAAAACACTGATTTATTAAATGTTTGGTAAAAATTGCTGAGTCCAACAGGATAGTCCTATTTTAAATAGTATTTCTTACACCTTTTTTAATCATACTTGAATTACCCCTTAAAAACTTCACAGCTTGACTAATAAGTTGCTGAATTAGATTAATATCATTTAACTACTTAATCATTTAAATATTTGAAGTATTTTGTGTCCTTTTCATTCTTAAGCAGACAGCTTTATTTCGAAAACTTGTATTATGTATTAATCTTTCAATTTTTAAGATTACTTATTTTAAGTATCAAAATCATTTTATCTTTAAGTTATTAAAGATTATATTAAAAGAAGGATATGATTTATATTTAAATACCAAATTAAACTGTATCTTGAATGATTTTAATTCTGTAACATTTTTGGAACCAGGTTGTGATTCAGAGTAGTGATGAGATTGCTGACAGAGCTATAGATCTTCTTAAAGAGATATACACAAACCTTGGTCCAAAATTAAAAGCCAATCAGGTAAGAATTGAAGTGCTTAAAAAGATCCACAACAGTTGGGTTAAATTGTTGGGTAGTATGGTAGTATCCTGAAAATAACTAGAAAATTTTCAATATTTAATCCACTTTTCTCCATTACACAATGGTTACCGAAGCAATGTTGATTTGATAATTATCCTTAGGTGATTAAAATAATTTTGAATGTAATTGTACATTTTCATATATTGAGATGGCCAGAATTTTGTCCTAGTCGTTTGGCCTTTTGTCTAGGCATTTGTTTTTGTTTGTTTGCCTTTCTGAGATAGGGTCTCACCGTCACCCAGGCTGTGGAGTGCTGTGGTGCGACCACAGCTCAGCCACAGCCTAAAACTCCCAGGCTCGAGCTATCCTCCTGACTCTGATTATAGGTGCATACCACCCCACTATCAGCTAATTTTTTGGTGCTGGTGGTGTTAGTGGTGAGACCTCACTATGTTGCCAGAGCTAGTCTCTTAATTCCTGGACCCATGCCCTCTTCCCTCATTGGCCTCCCAGAGTGCTGGAATTACAGGCATGAGCCACTGTGCTTGACTGGACATTCACTTTTTTTTTTTTTTGGTAAATGGAGTTTCCCTGTTGTCACCCAGGCTAGAGTGCAGTGGTGCCATCTCGGCTCCCTGCAACCGTTGCCTCCCAGGTTCAAGTGATTCTCCTGCCTCAGCCTCCCAAGTAGGTAAGATTGCAGGCATATGCCAGCACAGTTGACTAATTTTGTATTTTTTTAGTAGTGACAGGGTTTCACCATGTTGATCAGGTTGGTCTCGAAGTCCTGGCCCTCAGTGACCCACCTGTTTCAGCCTCCCAAAGTGCTGGCATCATAGGTATGAACCACCTCGGCTGGCTGACGTTTTTAATAACAAAATTTGTTTATACTTGCTAATTTTCACATAATGAGTTTCCTTTTTAGGAAACTTGTGTTTTATTACTGGATAAATATACCATTATTGAGTTACCTTTAAATCAACACTTTACTGATTTTGGTTAGATTGATGTCACATTTTATTTTTATGTTTGTAAGCAGCATGAAATTACCAATTGAATTATCTGTATTTGGCGCATTATTTATTTGTAGGTGGTTATCCATGAAGGCTTCATTCAGTCTTGCTTTGATCGTTTAAAATCATCATATGATACATTGTGTGTTTTGGATGGTGACAAAAACAGTATTAATTGTGCAAAACAAGAGGCCATTCGAATGGTTAGAGTATTGACTGTTTTAAAAGAGTACATTAATGAATGTGACAGTGATTATCACGAGGAAAGAAGGATTCTGCCTTTGTCCAGGTTTGTGTGAAATTAATCTGTAGTGTTAATTTACAATTATTTGATATTTTCTTAGAAAGTTACTTAGGAAAGTAATAATATATAAGCTAAAAGGAAAGTTGGGGATATTTTAATTTATGAATTCTAATGTTTTCTCCTTTAAAAATGCTAAATATTTAAGAAAATGTAGGTGCTTGTTGATAGGGTAGGTTTTTATTTGGATTTATATTTTGGTAAGGTATTTTCACTCATTAGTTACAGTTCCTCTTTTATTTTTCCAAATTGTTATCATTCATTAAATGTGATACAGTTATTTTGCATTTGATAGTTGTTTTTTTATTTGAATGTTCCTTAAAAAAAATTAAAAGCTCCTTATACATCCGTTATGACAAGGAAGATTTTTAAATGGTGTTTGCTAAAATTTCTTCAAATTTAAAAACTAATCACCAGAAAATAGACTAATAGTCAGATATTAATAGAACCATAAATTATATTCAAATTCAATAGCATGTGATATGAATAACAATAGTATCATAAATATAACTAAAGTCAATTATGAATTAACTATTTAATGACAGTTCCAGTTTTGGGGAAAATTTATGGAATGGCCACAGTGAGGTTTTTTAAAAACTCTGATTACTTTTTTAACTGAAAAATGTAAAATTGCTTCTTCTTCTTCTTTTTTTTTT